GGGCGCACCTAGATGAAGCATGCGGGGCTGCCTAACTAGAGCGTGAGGGCCGGCAAAGGGTAGAAAGATGATGGGTAAGGGAATCATGCAGATGACGCCTAAAGTGAGGGAAGTCGGAGCTAGATCCATAAGATGGGAAGCCAGGGCAACGCTACGGTCCCGATGCCTATGCGTATACCAAGGGAGAGCCTAACTCAGAGGAACCCGGCTAAAGAGAGGCCATCATGCGACACAAACAGGGTATTGTACAGGGTAGAATGGTAAGAGAGTGGCGACGTCTGAAGTAGGTAGAGCTGATCGTGATGAAGTCCATGAAGCTGCCGATGACGTCCATGATGAGAAGTCCGGAATGCCGTCGAGGAAGAGCCGCAACGTCGACAAGCTGAAGTAGCAAAACTGATGTGGATGGAGTACTGAGAAGTCAAAGACGTGGGAAGGTAAGTCAGAGTCAATCGTCGTATCGAGCAGGACGACAGCGAGTGCTCTGTGGATGCTCAGAAGCATTCGGCTGCTGCTGAAGGTCTGCCTCAGATGGAGCAGGCTCGACTTCAGCGGTCTCCTTAGCCGGAGGAGAAGGAGGGTCAGTGGGCTGAGGAGGAGCAGTGAACCCAGCACGACGAGCACGGTCATAGGCACACACCAACATGCGAGCGTGCTGCAAGTGCTCGAGGGGCTCACAGGTAGCCTCCTCATCGGGGTAACCCTTCCAACGTACGAGATACTCGACGTGGGGAGGGTTGTCGTCGGTGACTCGGCGACCAATGATGTTTGAAACGAGGAACTCCTCGTGACCGTCCACCATGATGGGTGGAGGGCGCTCGTATGGTCGTCCGGCGAAACGCTCAGACGGTCTGCGGTAAGGATGCAATAACGAGACGTGGTAGACATCGTGAACACGAGCCTGGCGTAGGTAGCTGGGCAGCTTCACACGGAAGCTGACCGGGCTAGAAGCCGTATCAGAACCGACGGCCTGGAGGATGCGGCATGGGCCAAAGAAGCGGCGCCGAAACTCGCGAAGCGTGTCCGGTTCGAGCTGTAAGTGGCGAGCGTCGATAAGCACGCCATCACCGACTTTGAATGGATGATCCATCCTCGATCGGTTTGCACGTGCTGCCATGCGAGTCTGGGAAGCGGCTATGTGCTCATGTGCGGTCTTCATGATCAACGTCATGTGTGCAGCCCAGTCATCCAGCGCGGGACAACTCGTGTCGGGGTGCATCAATGACGGTCGGAGGAAGTCTGCGGGAACACGAGGGTGGTAGCCGAGGTCGCAATAGTAAGGCGACATCCCCGTGGCTGGCGAGACGGCGTGGTTGTAGGCTATCTCCGCGTGGGCAAGATGGAGATCCCACTCCTGGTCGTCACGAACAATCTTTCGGAGAATATCCCCGAGAGTCCTGTTCGTGATCTCGGTCTGACCATCTGTCTGAGGATGGTAAGACGAGGAGAAGCGGAGCTGAGTGCCGTACACCTCATGGAGCCGTCACCAGAATTGGCTGGTAAAGCGCGGGTCACGATCAGATATGATGCTTAGAGGTAAGCCGTGGTCACGCACGACTCGGTCAAATACGATGTCGACGACCTCACGTGCACTGATGGCATAGCGGCACGGAACAAAGCGTGCACGCTTCGTGAAGCGGTCGACGACGACCAGGATAGCATTATGATCGCGGGGGGTCGGAGGTCGAAGAGGACCGATAAAGTCCATCGAGATAGACTGCCAACGACCCTCAGGGATAGGAAGAGGCTGGAGCAAACCATAAGGTAGGTGGTTCGCACTGTTCACCTCCTGACAGGTGGGACACTCTGCGACGTAGTCCTTCACAAAGTTCTTGCGCTTCGGCCAGACGTACAGGCAACTCACACGAGCCAACGTCTTGTGGAAGCCCATATGACCGGCGACTGCCTGGTCATGGAACTCTGCTACTGCTCGGACACGTAGCTGTCCAGTGGAGGGAATGCAAATACGGGGCTCTCTGGTGCCCTGTGAACCGTGCCAGTATACAAGACCGTTGTCCCCGAGAGAGTAGTTCGGGACGGTCTTGCCACTCCGAAGGGTCGCGTGGATGTCGCGATAGTCGGGGCAGTCGCGGTACTGAGTGCGAAACTTGTCGATCACCGAGTGGTGGACAGTGGTGACCGAGATGGAAGAGAGCTGGATGTGCTCCTGGTCGTGGTCAGGGCGCCGGGATAAGGCATCTGCGACCCGATTAGTCTCACTCTTGATGTGCTCAGTGGTGAAACTAAACTCAGATAGGTCGCGCCACCAGCGAGCCTGTCGAGGAGTGAGCTTCGACTTTGTAAGAAAAGCCTGGACAATAGAGTTGTCCGTGCGCACCGTGAATGGTGCCCCGTGTAGGTAGTGACGCCAGTGCCGAGCGGCATAAACTACTGCGACAACCTCACGTTCATCAGCAGTGTAGTTTATCTCGGCGGACAGGAGCTGACGGGAGTAGAAGGCTATCGGAAAATCACCTGAGCGAGACTCGACAGTGTCGTCCTCGGCGATGGTAGGAGAATAGTCAATAGAGGGCTCGTCAGTAGCTGGACATGTACGCATCAGACAGGAAGCAGTGGTAGGGGTAGGTGGCGGGAAGCGAGGGATACGAGGATGAGAGGAATCAGGAGAGGAGGGGAAGACCTGAGAAAGCACTTCTCCTACAGCAAAGTCTGACGCATCGGTGGTAAGGATAAAAGGGCGATCAAAATCGGGTAAGTGAATGACCGCTGCGCATGTCACCGCCTTCTTGAGGGCGCGGAAGGCGTCCTTGTGGAGGGGTGTCCAAACCCAGGGTGGGTTCTTCCGGAGGAGGGTGGAGGTAAGGACATAGGAATACCTAGCGTATCCCCGGATGAAGTTACTATAGTAGCTGGTCAGGCCTAGGAAGCTGCGAAGCTGCTTGGCGGATGTGGGGGCGGGCCACTCCGCAATAGCAGTGATCTTCGCGTCGTCCATGTGGAGACCCTGGTCAGACACGTAGTGTCCTAAGAAATCCACTTTGTGTTGGGCAAAGCGGCACTTGCTTAGCTTGGCGTAGAAGCCATGTCTGCGCAAGCGATCAAGGACGTCGCGGAGGTGTCTGAGGTGCTCCTCAAGGGTACGACTGTAGACCAGGATATCGTCGAGGTAGACGAGAACGTACTGTTCTTGGATGTCCCTGAAGATATCGTTCATCGCCCTCTGAAAGGTAGCGGGTGCATTGGTGAGGCCGAATGGCATCACCGTAAACWCGTAGTGGCCGAAGCGCGATCGGAACGCTGTCTTCGGCTGGTCGGCTGCAGCGACGCGGATCTGATGGTAACCGCTACGAAGATCAATCTTCGTAAAGAAGCGGTTGCCTGCTAGGCGGTCGAACAGCTGATCGGAACGAGGCATGGAGTAGCTGTTCTTAACCGTGTAGCGGTTGAGACCGCGATAGTCGATGCAGAGACGGAGAGTTTCGTCCGCTTTGCGAGCAAAGAGGACGGGTGCACCCCACGGGGAGTTGCTGGGTTTAATGAAACCCAGTCTCAGGAGCTCCTCAAGCTGACGCTTGAGTTCGGTGGCCTCRGGGWTCGAGAGTCTGTAGGKTGCCTGGTGGTGAACACGATAKTCAGGCACGAGCTGAATGRAGTGCTCGACGTCACGCATCGGTGRGATGCCGGCGTACGAGAACGACGATGGGAAAACGTCATGGTACTCTCGGATGAGGTCACGAACTGCGGGCTCCAAGTCAGCCGTATATCGTGCGAGTTCCTCAGCGTCAGCGTCTTCGCGCGACGGCGGGGTGGACTCGACGAACGGCGGAGGGACGAAAGTAGAGATGGGAGCCATGGAGATAGAGGGAGGATCTGGCTCCAGAGGGATGAGCTAGGCGTCGGGACAGGGTGGATCATAGTGTAAGACATCCGTCACGTCCACCATAAAGAAGGTGACGTCGTCCTGTCGAATGAAGTGAGCGAACTGCCGAGGCGAGGTGACAGTGATAGAGGGAGATGGTGTGGGCACTGAAGGCTCCGGAGGAGGAGGATCGGGGCGTGGTGTCGTCGTGGTACCTATAAAAGGTACGCGATAAGTTTGTCCACACTTCGTTTTGAGAACGAGAGTGTTGGTCGCCCAATCGGCCTCGGTGCTGCGGAACCRACGAGACCACGGAGTGCCGAAWATRAAGTCGTACCCCGTCTCCATCACATCGAAATGTGTAGAGGAGCGGTGGCGACGAGACGTCGGGGAACGATCAGTCGGCTCGAGAGTGAGGAAGAAGGGGAGGTCGGTGACCGTCTGATCGAAGAAGCGCTGGATCTTGTCATCCCCTAGGGTAACGAAGATGGGAGTCGGAGACTCTGTCGTGGGTAAGCGGGCTTCCTTCACCACGCGTGGGTGAATGAAGTCGCCCTGAGAACCGGAATCCCACAGCACTGAGTACACCCTCGTGGAGGCCCCGAGTCGTACGGGGATGATCGGGAGGGTGCGATCAGGGTCAGAGAGGATGGCGAGAAGGCGACGCAGTGCAGCGACATGGAGGGTGAGTCGCTCCTGACGAGCCTGGAGCATGCTCAAGTCTAGAAGAGAGGACACAACGTCCTCGCGAGTAGCAAGCTGCTCCCTGCAACGGGCTGAGCGAATGGCTCGACGCGTCGGTAGTCGCGGCGGGGAAGGAGGGGAGACGGTGGTCTACGGAGGCGCAGACAGTATTGCGACAGAGGGCTGAGTACACTCTGTCGAGTCCTGCGATACCTCAACTCCAGTAGCGAGACGGGCGAACCGCGTCGGAATGTCGGGAAGCCCACTACTGAGGAGGGCGCAAGTGTACACTGCATCGTGGCTAGGAGGTGCCGCGGGGACGTGATGCGTCAGGGGGGGACTGAGCACGACGCTGACGAGAAAGGTCAGCGTAGTGGCGGTCGAGGGCGGTAGTGTAAGGGCACCGCCAGGAGGTTTGATTGTCCAAGCGGCAGCGTAAACACCCACGCCAGCCCAGAATAGCCACGCGCTCCTCAGGGGAAAGGACACCACGAGGAGGGACGAAGCCCTGAGGGAGGTCCTCCTGAGGGACCTCGGGGGGCGATGCGCCAGCGTGACCTGGGCGGCTGCGTGCCCGAGAGAGGGCAGAGAGCGCGAGCTGAAGGCGCTCAGATGCAGGGAGGGTAGAGTCCTCCAAGTGATAGTGGACGGCCTCGCAGAGATCGAGGTCGTCGCTGTGGTCGCCCTCAGATAACAGTGGGGCAACAGCGTCCTGCTCACCATACTCCAGCGCGCTAAAGCGGCGCGAGAAGTGGCGGCCCTACTGCGTGGAACGGCGGGGGCGACCGCGGAAAGGGGAACGGTGTTGGGAAGTGCCGTGAGAGGAGGAGGCAGCGTCGCCCGTTCACTGGGGCTGGGAGGAGGAGGCGGGGTGAAGACGGGCTCGCATCCACTGGTGGTCCCTGGCGGCCTCCTAAGCCTGTGGGGCCGATGTGAACTTGTACCGCCATAGCTCGGAGCGGTACTCGAGCGGAAGGCTGGCCAAGAAATGATCGATAAGGGCAGCCTCGGGGAGGAACGCCACGTCGCAAACGAGGCGGGCGTCCTGAAAGACTTGGATGTGGCGATCCAGGCCGGCAGCGCCACCAGAGCCGGACCAGCGTGTAGTGACGACACGCTCGAAGGCGTCAATCACGTCGTATCGGGCTCCGAAGCGATCCTCGAGGAACGCCTGGAAATCACTTAAGGTCGGAGTCCGACCCTCACGAAGGGAGTAGGCATAGAAATTCTCCAAGGCCTCGAAAGGACCGCCACGCAGGCGCGTGGAGAGGTGATCCACCCACGTCTTGGGTGTGGCGCCCATGAGCTGGAGTGTGCGGGTGGCAGACTGCAGCCACCGAGACACGCGTATGCCTGTACCGTCATACAAGGCAATGTCTGACAAGCGGATGAGTGGTGCGCCACCGTTTTGGTGGCGGTGGCAACAACGGCAGGCTGCGAGGGTGCTGCGGTAGAAGAGGTCGCAGCAACCGCGGGAGTAGGCGGTGTGCCTGAAGGCGCGGCCACCTGTGAGGGTGGCGGTGGCTGAAGGCGTAAGAGGGTGAGGTTGGCCCGGAGATGGGCAATCTCGTCCTCGAGACCTCGAACGTAGGTCGTGCGAGGGGTAGCAGGGGGAAGAGTGGAGGAAGTGGATGCACAAGCGGCGCGGAGCATCCGAGAGGGGGAAGAGCCAGGTGGCGCTGCAGTCGTGCGAAGGGGGGGGAGGAGCGGGGCACCCGGAAACGCTGAGACCATGGTAACGGGTTGTGGTCCCGTGACCATCGTAACTGGAATCTGGGCCGGTGCGCCCGTAGACTGAGGAAGGGCCTGACTCGTGGCGGCCGTCGAGCTAGGGGCGTGGACGGTCACCAAAATGGTCGGGTCGGGGGTGGCAGAGGAGGAAACTCCGTCATGGCCACCCTGTCGGAGAACTGGGGACCCTGACTGAGAGCCAGGAGAAGAGAGAGGATGAGGAGAGGAAGGATGACCAGCGTCCTGGAGTTGCTGCACGCCGGTGGCAAGGGTCGCCACCTGCCCCTGTAAGGGCCCGAGGGTCGCGAGTTGCGCCTGGATGGGCACGAGGGTCGCGAGTTGCGCCTAGATGGGCGTAAGGAGGGAGGTGAGGAGGGTGTGCAAATCCCCCTGGGGCTGATGGCCCTGGTCCGCCGGCACGGGTGTGGAGCCCGATGTCGTGATCATTGCCGTGTCGGCGGCGTGTGACACACCGTCGGCCATGGGGAGATGACGGATCGGACTGGGGGGGGTCAGAAGAGGTCAGCGTGAGCAGAGGGCGTAGGGGGAAGTCCGCGGTAGGAAGCGGCGAACGGCGCTAGCAAGGCTAGCACGGGGGCCGTCGAAGGGGGAAGGGTGGTTCGGGTCCAGGGTGCCCGAAGAGGACGAGGAAGTAGGGGGGTTTTGAAGAACCCTAAACCCTACAAAAACCCTAAGAAAACCCTAACCGAGGTTTAAGGCTAGGGTAAGGTACCGGTGACCTAATCAAGAAAGTAAAATAGCAAGCATAGGGGGGGGGGGGAAGACGGGAGAAAAATAAATCAACAGCGAGATTTCGAGAAAAAATTAAAATAAATAAGAAAATAAATAAATAATAAATAATAAAAATAATTAAAGAAATAAGTAAAAAGATGTGAAGAGAAACAATATTCATTTTTTTGAAATTTTCGGCAACATTTCCCTACCCCCCACGGGGTCAAGAATGTGCCAAGGGAAAAGAAGAGACCGAGGTGTGCACAATAGAGATGCCGCAAATAAATAAATAAAAAAGAAATTTCAAAAAATAAATAAATAATAAATAAATAAATAAATAAGTAAATAAGTATGTGAGGAGGTGGGGAGAAATGGGTTATCTGATTTTTCAAAAATTTTGGCAGCATTTCGTTACCCCCATGGGCTCGAAGTGTGTCGAAAAGACTACGTAAGAGAAAATCAGAAAATTTCGGCAGCACTTCGTTACCCCCACGGGGTCAAAACATGTGCCGAAAGCAAGAAAGGCTAACACCTAATCAGATTTAGGG